CAGTGCTTCCTCCATACCAAATCACCTTCTATTGATTTTGTATATACTTGTATGTGTATACATTTTCTTCCCTCATAGAACGTAACCTTCTTGAGGGCAGGTACTGTTTTACTTCTGTCATTATATCCTCAGTGCCTAGTACAGTGCCTAGCACATAATGGCCAATTAATAAGTGCTTATTGATTGTTTAAGCTATAAAATGGGAAAAATAATACTTTGGTCAATCTGCCCAGATTTATTAAGCACCTAACATGTACAGGCCCTGTGCCAGGTGACAAAGGGGAAACACTTCCTACTCTCCAAGAGCTTACAGTCTAGCTAGTAGACACAAGTACAGTGATAGGTACATACCAAATAGACCAAAGGTGATTTGTCAGGAAGGAAGGAAGGGAAGAGAAGGAGGAGGAGGAAAGAAATGAAGGAAAGAAGAAAGGGAAGGTGGGAGGAAAAAAGGAAGGGAGAACAAAGGAAAGAAAGAGGGAAGGAAGGAGTGAAAGAGGGAGGGGTGAGAAGAAATTAGAGAAAGAAGAAAGTGATGGAGGGAGGAAGAAAGGAAGGGACGATGGGAGGGAGAGAGAAAGGGAGGAAAGAGAGAAAGAAGGAAGGGGAAAAGTGAAGGAGGAAGGAAGAAAGGAAGAGGGAGAAAGGGAAGAAAGAAGGGGGAGAGAGAGAGGGAGGAAGGAACAAAGGATGGAAAGAAGGAAGGAAGGAAAGAAGGAAGGAAGGAAAGGAGGGGGGAGAAAGGTAGGGAGAAAGGAAGGAAGGGAAGGAAGGACAGCGGGAGAGAAGGAGAAAAGTACTCCCTACCTTACAGAGTCATTTGGGGCAAAATATTTCTAAAACCTTACAGACCTTACAAGAGAGTCTGGGGGAGGGGGGCTGTGGATCTAGTAAAAACAGCAGGGGAGGGTAGTAAGCTGGGAAGGAGATGGAAGAAGGGAAACTATTTAGCTCTCTACAATGTGTTAATTATGCTGAAGCTCTGAGCTCCCTCTGTCCCTCTGGGAGCCTTCTGCCCTGAACACATGGGCTCTTTCCCCCAGGAGAGACAGAAAGCAGGACAGGTCCTTTTGATGGGCCAGCTTGTCACAGATTCAGAAGGACTGACCCTTGGAAGGAGTGACCTCATGGGGCCTCCTGATTCTTGACATCACCTAGAAAAAATATTTCCTCTTTTTCCTCCAGGTCATGGCTAATCTCAGACAACAAGATGGGAAGGGATGGAATCATAGCATCTTAGATTCTTAGAATCACAGAATTTAAAATTTCTAATCAGCATTAGAAAGGTCCATAAACTGGATGTTGTGAAATTATAATGGTCAAGCTTGACCCCAAAGAAGAAACATGACAGGAACTGCCCCCTGTCCCTTTGTCGAGGTGGGGTCCATGGGTATGGAATATTGAATATAATATTAGATTTTTCCCATGTGTTGATTGTTTTTTGCTGGTTTTTCTCTCTTCCTTTTTATTTTTTAATTTTGTCAATAAGGGATAGCCCTCTGGGAGGGGGAGGGGAAGGCATATATGGGGAAATGGAGGCAATATGAAAACAAAAGATAATGAAAATAAATTTTTTAAAAAACAAAATATATTAATGGAAATCAGCATTTAAAATTTGAGTGATTTTTTGTTTGTTTTTTTTTACATACATTTCCTCCTATAGGAAAAAAAAAACTTTTTTAAAAGACAAAAGAAAAAAAAAAGCCCAAAGCCATCCCTTACCCCAGTCCCTACACGATACATGAATCTCCCATGGTATCCCCAACAAGTCTCTGCTCCTTGGGGTGCCCTGTCTTCTGAGAGAGGCCATTACACTGTGGGGCATCTCTGATTGCACTGAAATGAGATCTGCCTCCCTATAACTTCTTCCCATTCATCTTAAGGCTGCCTTCTGGGTTCATCCAGAGAGATCTACTCCCTGTGTCCCACAATGTCTCTTCAGAGATGTGAAAGCAAAGGTTATTTCCCCACCCCCCAAGTCTTCTCCTCGAGATGGCTAGAGAGCCTTAGGGAAATGTCTCTTTAGGTTCCATACCCAGATGGTGATCAGGGCACTGGGGGAATTAAAAGAATAATGCCAGCCTGTATTCATTTCGAACCTTACTACAAAGAATGTATAAAGGAACCATATCATTTGATCACTCCAATAAAACATTATTATCCTGATTTTACCAAGGAGGAAACTGAGGTACCGAAAGGGGGAAAAGTGATTTGCCCAAGGCACAAAACTGAAATAAGATTGCATTCCTGGTCTCCAGGTTCTACTGGGCAGCTTCTTACCCTCCAGCCCTCCTTCCCTAGTCCAACATGCTTCCTCCTGACTCTTGCATGCTACTAAGCCCATGGGACCTCGTTGTCCAATGCCCTACATGCTCCAAATGCACACATTCCAACCCCAGCTCTCATTCACCTCAGGCACCAGCAGCATAGGCACCTACCTAGGTCACAGCTGGGGACGCCAAGAAACATTCCACAAAGGAGCAGGCCCTCTGTCTCCACCTGCTCCCTGCTCCCAAGACCCCCATTTGTCCTAGGAACCATGAAGACTCTATAGCGTGTTATAGAGGAAGGGGCTTTTACAATGTAGAATAAAGAATATTTAAAAAAAAAAAAAAAAATATATATATATATATATATATATATATATATATCATAGCTGGGAGTAGGTAGAGCTTAGAATATAGCCATGGAGTGTCAGAACAAAAAGGGCATTTATAACATAGATCATAGACTCTGAGCTGGAAGAAACCTGGGAGTCAATGAGTACCGTCCCTCATTTTACAAATGAGGAAACTGAGGCACCGGCGGTCAAATGACTTGCCCAAGGCCATATAGCTAGCGTATGGCAAAGAGGAGATTTGAACCCATGTCACTGAATTCTAAATCTGGCATTTTTCACCATACCACGCTAATGTCAGAGATGGAAGAGAACAGAGAATGTCAACCTGGGTAGGAGGGTGGGAAAATGGGCAGGGGGACACTTAGAATGTCAGGAGGAACCTTAGAATATGGAATATCAGAGCTGGGAGGGCCCTTAGAACATGAAATGTCAGAACTGGGAGGGTCCTTAGGACCTAGGATGTCAGAATTGGGAGACCCTTAGAATACCGAAGGTCAGAGCTGAGAAGGCGCTCAGACACCATCCAATCATAGCACTGAAATTGTGGCCACATCCTCCCTGCCCCCAGTACTAGTTAGTTCTAAGGAGAAAGGAGCTCATAGCATTTACAGTTAGAAAGGATTAGGGATAATTTAGTCACTCATTGTGCTGATGCAGAAACCAAGATGCAGGAGAGGTTAAGTAACATGCCCAAGATGGCCCAGGCAAGTCTTACCAGTGGAAGGTTTTGGCTGAAGGCCACAAGATGAGCTGGAGACAGAATAAGAATTAGACCCAAGACATCCTGGTTCCCAATCTAGGTCTTTCTCCATTGCCCTCACTCCCCCCAGTCCTCCCTATCTCCACACTTCTCCCACCCCTAACAAATTAAATCCAGCCACCAGCCCTGCCGCTTCCTCTAGTCTCCCACAATAAGGTGAGCAGGGAAGTTCTGTAATTAGCAGGTGTTACCTCCCTACAAATTAATCCACAAATTTAAATGCCTGGAGATTGTTCTGCTGAGAGCCTGATGCAAGCAAGAGGCCCCCATCGGTGCCAGGGGAGAGCTGGATCAGCAGGCAAAACCCTTTGGTGGCTCTTCAGGGAATACCCCACTCCTGCTCCCATCTTGGCCTTCTGGGAGACAGATTAGGGAAGAGGTTTGGAAGCCAGCCCCACTGTCAGAGGCCAGATACTTTATTGGGGCTTTAGGATTTTATAGCTGGACAGGACCTTAGCGATCATCTCTAATTCATCTCCCTCATTTTACAAATGGGGAAACTGAGACCCAGAGAGAGAAAAGGACTTGTTAAGGGCATGCAGTGAATGCATGGCACAATCTGGTCTGCAACCCAGGTCTCCTGACCCATGGACCTTCTCTTTCTATATTGCCTTTTGCTGAGGTCATAGCTATATTGGAGCTGTCCAGCATCAGCCTTATTTTTCCTGAAGTTCAGGCTGCCTTATTCCTTTCGCTCTCTGGCCTTATACTACATCACAAATGACCGCTAGTAAGTCCCTGCCCCAAGGGGTGCCAGAAAGGTACTACTCTCTGAAAGTAAAAGGACCCCAAGAGATCAACTGTGTCAGTCCCAGAACTGAGGCTAGATGTCTCTGTGCCTAATCTCAGTTTTGTCAGATTCCCCAAGACTATTTCCAGAACTTCAGAAAAGCTTTCTCAAGCTCCTACACTGACCCAGGATACCCACTTCAGCTAAATTCTCTGAGCTTACAGGCAGTCCCCACATCTTGGAATATAATAAATAAACAATATAACTATATTGTAATAATGTAATAAATCCACAACAATTTACTAAAGCGTTCACTATGTGCTGAGCACTGAAAACACACAAAACCAAAAATGAAACAAGATTCTGCCCTCACAGAGCTAATATTCAGTCAGAAGATGGCTAATTTTTCTCTGTTTTGTTCTGTGTTTGAGTCTTTTCAGGATTCTGGTCAGCCTGGTGAAGTGGAGAGAGGTGACAGAGAGCAAGGAAAACTCACCAGGAACACAGTTGGCATACACTGGCAGAACTACCACCCAAGCGCCCCGGCCCAACTCAGGTCTGTTTCATTCGTAATTGACAAAGGAAGAAGAGTCAATCCTTACCAGAGAATATAAGGATGACATTCTAAGGCTCCTACACTGATCTGCAGTACTCATTTTTCTTTTTGCTAAATCTTCTAGATTTCCTTTCCCCACCCCACCCCCAATTTTTACATCTCTGCAATTGCTGTATGTAATTACGGGTTAGAAAGGGAGGAGAGAGGTCTTCATCTAGACCAAGCTTGTTGTCTACCACCACAACTCCCTCCCTAAACCCTAGATACCCTTCTGGGGGTGTCTCCATTCCTCCCACCCTGGTTTTCTCCTCCCCCAGCCCCAACTAAGACTCACCCCAGGCAGAGTCTTTTGTTCGTGCAGAGCGGTCTGGGCCTTGATGGCGGAATCCCGGGCGCAGTAGGTGAGGAAAGCACACCCTGAGGAGGGGAGAAAGAAATGGAAATCAGGTGTTAGAGATTCGTGATTTTTTTTTTCTTTCAGGTGTGCTGGAGCTACCTTCAATAGTTCACAAAGATGGGTGAATTTTCAGCGTGAGCATTTATTCCTTGGAAATCGGCAAACCCTACAACAGAGGTTTGGTCCAACCTCTTGTGGATTGTCTAAACTTAAGAAAACAATGGCAGACATGTTAATGAAGAGGATTGAATTTAAAAGTATGTCTAGTGTATATTTTTCCTGGAGAGCCAGTTGTTAAACATCGACCAGCCCAGTACTGCTTTTTTCCACATTCTCTGTTGACCACTCCTGAGCCCCACTCTTGGGACATGTATTTTCTTGTTTGCCTTCATCAGGCTCAGCTCTTCTGCCCTAGGCAGGGAAAGATGTCCATTCTCCACCCCATCCCATCTTTTAGTTGTTTGTTAATTATCTGGAATGGAGGGAAGGGCTTGGGATGAGATTTGCTCTGGCTGGAGAGGAAGGAGAAGAGGAGGCAGGAGGCAGGGGGAGTCATTAGGAGAACAGTCATGGATAAAAGCCCACAGAGAAGGTCATGTCAAAATGGGGGTGGGTGGGGGATTGTGGGTGGGAGTGGGGAGTGGAAGGAGGGCAGAGGAAGTAATTACTATAGTATAATTTGGGGAGGATGAGTCCTAAAGCACCCAGCTTCAAGGAGACTATTTGCAAATGTGTGGAGGGATCTTAAAGGGACCCTAGGGAGCTTAGATTTAGAGCTGAAAGGGATCTTGGCACTCATCTGCCTCTCATTTGACAGAAGGAAACTGAGGCCCAGAGAGATGAAATAATTTGTCCAAGGTCACAAAGCCAGTACAGGGAGGAGCCATAATTTGAACCCGGCTTCTCTAATTCATCTTTATCTCACTGCCTCATTTAAGCACAGAAAATGTCAGGGCTGGAAGGAACCCTAGAGACTAATCCCACCCCCAAGTTTATATGACCCTAAGGGTGGGCATCTCCAGGGTCTCTACTCCTTTGATCATCTCATTCACCCTACAATTCCAAATATTATGCTTCTGGACATGACTCTCAAATCTGTATCTAATGTCCCTCCTGAGCTCCAGTCCCAGATCTCCAAATGCCCTTGAGATACCTCTACCTAAGTGGGCAGTCAATGCCCTAAGCCCAATTCTTCAGACTGGACTCATCCTCTACCTATCTTTCTATTTCTTTTGATGGCCTCATGGTAAGACTTCTCCCTAAACCCTTCCACCCAAATACAAACCAGTTTCCAAGTCCTATTAATCCTAATTCCAAAGTTATTTCTCAAAATGGTACTCTCCTTTCCACTCTTACTGCAACAAAGTAAACTGCCCAATGCACCAATCTGATCAGGTCACTACCCTAGTTAATAACCTTCATTGGGTCCCCAGTGCCTCCCAGATAAAATACAAGTGCCTCAGGCTGGCATCTAAAGTCTTCATTTATCTGGCTTTGACTTCTCTTTCGGGCTTTCTTTCTCCCTCTCTGCCTTCATGTACTTTGAACTTGCAATGCAAACTGGGCCACTCAAAATTCCCCAATATAATGATGTCATTTTTTAACCTTTCCTATGATTTTATTATATTCTAACTTATTGGGATTTGTATTTCTCAACCTTCTACAGATTGTAAGCACCTTGAGGGCAGGGATGACATTGTTTTTCATCTTTGTATCCTCAACACCAAGCATAATACCCTATACATAGAAATGTTTAATAAAAAATTGTTGAATTACATTAAAGTCAGAAGGCCCTTAGAACATAAAATAGAACCTCTGAGCTGGAAGAGCCATTAAAACATGGAACATATTGGGTGAAATCTAGGGTTAAATGTAAAGTCATACACTTGGGTTCAAAAAGTCAACTTACAAGTACAAGATGGCAGAAGTATGGTTACATGGAGGTTTACCTGGAAAAAAAGATCTGGGTATGTGCATGGACTGCAAATTCAATATGAGTCAACCCTGTGACATGTATGGCAACCAAAAAAGCTAATTTGATTTTAGGCCACATTAAGAGGGACAGAATATCCAGGACTAGGCAGGGGATAGCCCTGTCATACTAGGTTCTCATCAGAACAGAATGCTGTTCATAGTTCTATGTCCCACATTGATAAGCTGGAGAGCATCCAGAGGAAGATAATCAGAATGGTGAAGGGTCTCAGGATTATTCCACATGAAGATTGATGCAAAAAAAAAAAACAATGGGGATGCTTAGCCTAGAGAAGAAAAGAAGATGATGGGCATAAGAGCTATGCTCAAGTATTTTAAGGGCTGGTATATGGAAGATGAATTAGGCTCATTTTGGTTGGCCCTGAGAGTTAGACTAATCTATGGCAGTAGTGAATTCAGGCCTTACAAGCATTATTATAGAGGTGTAGATTTCAACTTGATAACCGGAAGAAATTTAATCATGGAGGTAGCCCCGTAGATAGAATGAATGGCAGGCCTGGAGTCAGGAAGACCTAAGTTTGAATCCAACCTCAGATACTTACTAGATATGGGACCTTGGACAAGTCACAGCCTTTGTCTGCCTTAGTTTCCTCAACTGTAATAACACTTACCTCTCAGAGTTGTGAGGATAAAATGAGATAATAATTGGTGCTTAGCACAGTACCTGGCACACAGCAGGTGCTATATGAATGTTAGCTTTCATTATAAAGAACTCCCAAACAACGACAGGTGTCCTGAAGGAGAACAGCAGACCTTCTATTGGGACCTGCCCTTGCCCATCAGACCTTAGAGAGGTCATCTAATCCAGCTCCCTCCCTGGACAGATGTTCAAATTTAGGGTGGGGTAAATTCACCACCTCACATTTTCATCCTCTACGTCATTTCCCAGTGTCCTACTCTGATCAGACTAATTCTCTACAAAACAAACAAAAACAAAACCTTCTACGATTCCCCATTGCTCTCCCAGTTAAAAAAAAAGTCTCCCTGCCCCCACCCCTTCTGCACTCCAGCATTCAAGGTCTTCCAAAATCTTGATCCAACCTGTGTGTATAATCGTATCTCCTACCCTTCACATAATCTATGTTTCAACTACACCGGACAACTCCCTAACTTCCCCACCTTGTCCTCTGTAATCTGGATGCCTATGCCCCAGACTGATCCCCTCCCTGTTCCCATATGGAGGTATTACTCTACCACTACAGCCTGAACCCTGACACCCTCTATGTGAAATATGCTGCTGGTCACAAAGAAGAAGGTGAGAAAAATAGAGATAATTCAGAGCAGCCTATTCCCATTGCTGGAGACAGCAGGCAGGCGAAGCTCCCTTTCCAGAGGGGGTGATTCAGGGGTATCATCTTTGTACACAAAAGATAACACATGCATTTGTAATAATAATGACAATAGCTGACATTTCTATTATACCGTGCGGTTACAACAGACTCTTCCATCCATTATTTCATCGGATTCATCCTCTATATGGTTGCCAAAGTGATTTTCCTAACGGGTCCATCTGACTGTAACACCCCACTACTCTATAATCTCTGGCCACTCCATATACACAGACACAGACAGATACATATATCATGTGTGTGCATATATGATGTATATGTGTATGTATACACACATATCTACACATGTGTACACACACACATATATAATCAAATAAAAACGCTGTTGTTTGGCTGGAAAATTCCCCCCCCACCTGGCCCCATCCTACCTTTCCAGATTTGATTACACATTTCTCTCCTTCACACACTCTGTGGTCCAGGCAAACTGGCCTTTTTGCCGCTCAACTCATGCTCTCTCTTCTCACCTCCATCCCTTAGAATTCCCAGTTCCCTTTGATATTTAAGCTCAAGTGCTACCTTCTACATGAGGCCCCTCCTGGTGCCCCCAGCTGTCAGTCCCTTCCCCTATGAGGTCACCCTTTCTATGTATTTTGTATATTCCTATATATATGTTTTATCTATCCCTAGATATGTATATATTGTCTCCCTCTTTAGAATATAAGCTCTTTGAGGGCAGAATGATGTCAATCTGTCTTGGTCCCTCAGCACCATACCTGGCCCATATTAGGCACTTATAAGCATTCGGTTGGTTGCTTGGATTGATCTTTCCAACACCTCCACAAGGGAGGCAGGGCAGGGCTTATCTTCCTCATTTTACAGATGAGGAAACTGAGACTCTGAGAAACTGAGTGACTTTTCCAAGGTCAAACTGTTAATAAGCAAAGAGACTGTGGTGCAAACCCAAGAGTCTCTGAGGCTCATCACTGCCCTGACTTTCGTTGCAGAGTCCAAGCCTTTTCACCCATTTGCAGGATCTCCAAACTTTGTATTCCCCAGTGATATTGTTCCAGCCAGAAGGGCTTCCGGAGTTGAGCCAGGTGTGTGGAAAAACAGATTGACCTTTGTTGTTAGTCATGTCAGGGCTCCATGTGGGAGGCTGGAGGGCCTGGGACTCTCCAGTGCTTTCAGACCAAGGGGACTTTAATATCAACAATGAATAGATCGTCTTAAGCCATTTACAATCCAATCTTGCCTCTGATAATTTGATTTGTAGGAAGAGGAGAGGAGTAGAAGCTATGCACAGCAGCCCTTTGATAATTTAACAGGCTCCAAAAATATGGAAATCCCTGGCTGGCAGAGGATGGAGGCTGCCTGCCAAGGGCTAGCAGGGGCCAACTCCATCCAGGGGCCAATTCTCTTCAGTAAATGTTGCTCCTCTCCCCCGCCTGCCATCCCAGCCCAACCCCCCCCCGCCCATGCCAATATCAGCCTCCAGTACTAGCTATGCTGAAGATCAGTGGGGAAAGGAAGAGGGAGAAAGAAAGTAAAGGACTAGCGACTCAAGTCCGGAATCTGTCCAGTGGGCTGGCCTCAAGAGCAAGCTCAGCTAGCTTGGCAGAAATTACAGCTGGCTTTAGATATTCATTTTGGGTCCAGATTTCTCTTAGAATCAGAGTTGGAAGGGACCCAAGAGATAATCTGAACCTTGATTTCCCCATCTGTAAAATGAGAGGGTTGAA